CTTGAGCCCAGGAGTTTGAGGTTGCTGTGAGCTAGGCTGACGCCACGGCACTCACTCTAGCCCGGGCAACAGAGTGAGACTCTGTCTCAAAAAACAAAAAAGAATGAAAAGGTTTTTTCTGGGTTCACGAATACACCACTGGGAAACACAAGCGAAGGCTGCACCGCCGCAGCACGCGGGTCCACGCACACAGTGGAGTCGGGCGCTCCCTGAGCGCTGCGACCAGCCGGCCTCTGCGGTTCACAACCACGCACAGAGACGGCACGGGCTGTCGCGCACAAGGGGCGTGAGGGTGAACACAGGTGTCAAGAAAACAAAACTGAAAGTAAAGACTAAACAGTAAAGCTGACTAAACCCAGCAGCCATGAGGGCACAGGGAGACGGCTCTCGAGACTCAAAACACAGGAAGTGCAACTATACTCGGTGACCACCGTGAGTGCAACCCGCTGGACCAGAGCAGAAACCTGCCATGACAAAGCCACCCATTGGCTGAGGAATGAAGGGAAGACCCACATAAAGAGGACACTAAACAGGAAATTTGAAAAATTATAGCTTTCTTAACAAAACCTGAACCCATGAAATTTTACCCACATTCCAACACACCTTCCTCTTCCCTGCTATGTGAATACTTACACAGCATTCTGTCCAATAAATATGAAGGAAGGGGAAAGTGAGCAGAGCTTTGTTTCCTTCTTTGGGCAGCAGCTCCTCTTTGAACTGAACAAAGTTAGACTCTAGGTGAATCATCTTCGGAGCCCGGCCATAGGACCTATAAACAATTTTTTAAACGTCACTGAGAAAAATTCAGAAGTATAGATAATATTAACCCTGAATCGTAACTATAATATTCTGCCCAAAAACACTCTACGAATTATTTTAAACACAGTTCACATGTACATGTCAAAGCTCCCTCTCCGTAAAATCTTTCATTTTACTCAAGGATAAAGGCACGGTAACACGTTCATCCAAGTATTCAACGTAACCAGGGCCACTACAGACTTCTGAGAACAATGGGTTTTACTCGCAGTGTAACTCAACCTATAAGTCACTACAAAAGACAAAAAGTGTGTCCCAAATGTCCAAAATACAGTTTTAAGTTATTAAAGCTTTAAAGCACATTGATACTTTTAGGACAACCCATATTATCCAAGAAACAAAATTATTTGGTGAAAGAGAACAGATTTTTAGTTGTAGAGCACGATAAAACAGAGGTACAAACCTCCGTTCTTTCCTCCACTCAAGAACGAACCCATGGAGAAATCCCACAAGCGACATGCCTCTCATCTAGGGCTGTGAGAGGACACGGCCGCTGCTCTACTACACCTCTGCCATCAGCCACACCACTCGGACCTTGTCACACCTGTATTCTCCTCTCTAGTAGCTGTGTCTCCTTTAAGCATTGGCAGCTAGAGTTTGCATGTTTGTATCCAATCTAAGGATGCTCTGTGTTTAATAAATTAAAACCAGCCATAATTCACGTGATTCTTCTTGTGCTGGAACCTGTGCGTTTTCTGTGTGCTGCTATTTTTTCCTGTCCTTTGTGAGATTAATCGAGTTGTCTTTTTCCATCCTTTTTCTATGCTGGTTTGAAAGTTTAATCATCTATTTCTATTCTACTGTTGGTTTCATTTTAACTCTTAATATGCACAAACCTAAGTTTTTTTTCAAAAACTAAAGTTAAAGTCTGTGCCCACTTTTCTCTGATCTCCTTCCCACACATCTGAAATTTTAGATTTTTTCATTGTTTAAAGGACTGATACCTTAACTCACGCAAAATATTTTTATGACTTGTTTGCTGGCAGTTGCTTCTTTCATCCTGTGATTTCTGGGTTCATTTTTCTTCTTGTTGGGATACATTCTTTCATTATTTCAGAAGGGTGGTAAGGATTCTGATCTCACAGATGTCTGAAAATGTTTTTACTTACTGCAGTGCTTCCCAAATATCTCCACGTCATGGCAAGCAGTGGAAATAATATTCGAATGGCACCCAGGGGTAGACACGCGTGGCTTTTTGCAGCCAGAGTGATTAAGCAGGCCCAGCCATGCTGTGTCCCAGTTGGCCTCCCCAAGGCCTCTGAGGAACAAACTTTCTCAGCATCCGCGTCTCAGGCAAGGCCCTCAGGGTGGGAGACACTGACTCAGTCATCCCTCTTGAGCAACAATGTGAATAATAAAGAATTCTAGGTTCAAAGGTATTTTCCCTCAGTACTGTGAGAAGGCTGTTTTTAAATGTTCTCTTTTATTTTTTTCTTTTTGAGACAGAGTCTCACTCTCTTGCCTGGGCTACAGTGCTGTGGCGTCAATCTAGCTCACAGCAACCTTAAACTCCTGGGCTCAGGCAATCCTTCTGCCTCAGCTTCCCAGGTAGCTGGGACTACAGGCACGTGCC